GCCCTCCCTCTAGGTGTTTTGGGCTCCAACTCCCACAACGTGGGTATGCAGATGATCCCTTGATGGACTGAAGTGTCCAGTTCCAAGAGGACAAAGGCATGGGCCAACTTGGGCCCTCCCTCCAGGTGTTTTGGGCTCCAACTCCCACAACGTGGGTATGCAGATGATCCCTTGATGGACTGAAGTGTCCAGTTCCAAGAGGACAAAGGCATGGGCCAACTTGGGCCCTCCCTCCAGGTGTTTTGGACTCCAACTCCCATAACTTGGGTATGCAGATGATCCCTTGATGGACTGAAGTGTCCAGTTCCAAGAGGACAAAGGCATGGGCCAACTTGGGCCCTCCCTCCAGGTGTTTTGGACTCCAACTCCCACAACGTGGGTATGCAGATGATCCCTTGATTGACTGAGGTGTCCAGTTCCAAGAGGACAAAGCCATGGGCCAACTTGGACCCTCCCTCCAGGTGTTTTGGGCTCCAACTCCCACAACGTGGGTATGCAGATGATCCCTTGATGGACTGAAGTGTCCAGTTCCAAGAGGACAAAGGCATGGGCCAACTTGGGCCCTCCCTCTAGGTGTTTTGGACTCCAACTCCCACAACGTGGGTATGCAGATGATCCCTTGATGGACTGAAGTGTCCAGTTCCAAGAGGACAAAGGCATGGGCCAACTTGGGCCCTCCCTCTCCAGGTGTTTTGGACTCCAACTCCCACAACGTGTGTATGCAGATGATCCCTTGACTGACTGAAGTGTCCAGTTCCAAGAGGACAGAGGCATGGGCTAACTTGGGCCCTCCCTCCCTTTCCTTTGGACTTCCAGCTCCCACAACGTGGGTATGCAGATGATCCCTTGATTGACTGAAGTGTCCAGTTCCAAGATGACAAAGGCATGAGCCAACTTGGGCCCTCCAGGTGTTTTGGACTCCAACTCCCACAACGTGGGTATGCAGATGATCCCTTGATTGACTGAAGTGTCCAGTTCCAAGAGGACAAAGGCATGGGCCAACTTGGGCCCTCCCTCCAGGTGTTTTGGGTTCCAACTCCCATAACGTGGATATGCAGATGATCCCTTGATTGACTGAAGTGTCCAGTTCCAAGAGGACAAAGGCATGGGCCAACTTGGGCCCTCCCTCCAGGTGTTTTGGACTCCAACTCCCACAACGTGGGTATGCAGATGATCCCTTGATTGACTTAAGTGTCCAGTTCCAAGAGGACAAAGGCATGGGCCAACTTGGGCCCTCCCTCCAGGTGTTTTGGACTCCAACTCCCACAACTTGGGTATGCAGATGATCCCTTCATTGACTTAAGTGTCCAGTTCCAAGAGGACAAAGGCATGGGCCAACTTGGACCCTCCCTCCAGGTGTTTTGGACTCCAACTCCCACAACGTGGGTATGCAGATGATCCCTTGATGGACTGAAGTGTCCAGTTCCAAGAGGACAAAGGCATGGGCCAACTTGGGCCCTCCCTCTAGGTGTTTTGGACTCCAACTCCCACAACGTGGATATGCTGATGACCCCTTGATGGACTGAAGTGTCCAGTTCCAAGAGGACAAAGCCATGGGCCAACTTGGGCCCTCCCTCTAGGTGTTTTGGACTTCAACTCCCACAACCTGGGTATGCACATGATCCCTTGATGGACTGAAGTGTCCAGTTCCAAGAGGACAAAGGCATGGGCCAACTTGGGCCCTCCCTCCAGGTGTTTTGGGCTCCAACTCCCACAACCTGGGTATGCACATGATCCCTTGCTGGACTGAAGTGTCCAGTTCCAAGAGGACAAAGGCATGGGCCAACTTGGGCCCTCCCTCCAGGTGTTTTGGGCTCGAACTCCCACAACGTGGGTATGCAGATGATCCCTTGCTGGACTGAAGTGTCCAGTTCCAAGAGGACAAAGGCATGGGCCAACTTGGGCCCTCTCTCCAGGTGTTTTGGGCTCGAACTCCCACAACGTGGGTATGCAGATGATCCCTTGATGGACTGAAGTGTCCAGTTCCAAGAGGACAAAGGCATGGGCCAACTTGGACCCTCCCTCTAGGTGTTTTGGGCTTCAACTCCCACAACTTGGGTATGCAGAGGATTCCTTCATTGACTTAAGTGTCCAGTTCCAAGAGGACTAAGTCATGGGCCAACTTGGGCCTCCCTCCAGGTGTTTTGGGCTCCAACTCCCACAACCTGGGTATGCACATGATCCCTTGCTGGACTGAAGTGTCCAGTTCCAAGAGGACAAAGGCATGGGCCAACTTGGGCCCTCCCTCCAGGTGTTTTGGGCTCGAACTCCCACAACGTGGGTATGCAGATGATCCCTTGATGGACTGAAGTGTCCAGTTCCAAGAGGACAAAGGCATGGGCCAACTTGGGCCCTCCCTCCAGGTGTTTTGGGCTCCAACTCCCACAACGTGGGTATGCAGATGATCCCTTGATGGACTGAAGTGTCCAGTTCCAAGAGGACAAAGGCATGGGCCAACTTGGGCCCTCCCTCTAGGTGTTTTGGACTCCAACTCCCACAACGTGGATATGCTGATGACCCCTTGATGGACTGAAGTGTCCAGTTCCAAGAGGACAAAGGCATGGGCCAACTTGGGCCCTCCCTCTAGGTGTTTTGGACTCCAACTCCCACAACGTGGGTATGCAGATGATCCCTTGATGGACTGAAGTGTCCAGTTCCAAGAGGACAAAGGCATGGGCCAACTTGGGCCCTCCCTCTAGGTGTTTTGGACTCCAACTCCCACAACGTGGATATGCTGATGACCCCTTGATGGACTGAAGTGTCCAGTTCCAAGAGGACAAAGCCATGGGCCAACTTGGGCCCTCCTTCCAGGTGTTTTGGGCTCCAGCTCCCACACTGAGCCTGGAACCCCAGGTTTTGGTGGTGACCAGGGGAAAATTTGGTCAGTTAGAACTCATGCACCAGCTGTGCCCGTATCTTGGGAAGTCTGACTTGGCAACAGTAGGCCATGCTCTGGTTGCATCCTGAATAGAGTACTGCAACGCGCTCTACATGGGATTGCCTTTGCAGACTGTTCGGAAGTTTCAGATGGTCCAGTGAGTGGCAGCCAGGCTATGAATGGGAGCAGCGCTCAGGGAGCACACAACTCCTCTGTTGCGCCAACTCCACTGGCTGCCAGTTTGCTACTGGGCACAATTCAAAGTGCTAGCTTTTAGCCTATAAAGTCCTAAATGGTTCTGGTCCAGCTTACTTCTCCGAACGTATCTCTCCTTATGAACCATCTACGACTTTAAGATCGTCTGGGGAGGCCCTGCTTTCAATCCTGCCTTCCTCGCAGGCGCACCTGGCGGGGACGAGGGACAGGGCCTTCCTTCTCAGTGGTGGCCCCTTGGCTGTGGAACCCCCTCCTTAGGGATATTAGATGGCCCCCCTCTCTCCTGACTTTCTGGAAAAAAAAGTTAAAACTTGGCTCTTCGAACAAGCTTTTGGAAATGCAGCATAATAGATATATAAGACACTATGAAAGAATGAACATGGAATGGCGAGACGATGCTTCTGGAAAATGAGTTTGACAGGATGACACTGGCCTAAAGCCAGGGGAAGTTCTTGATTATATGTTTCTTAATGCTTTTTTGGTATGTTTTTTATAATGTTATGCTCAATGTTTTTAATTGTATTTTATGACTGTTGTGGCATCAAATTGCTGCCAATCTGTAGGCTGCCTTGAGTCGTCTTTGGGCTGAGAAAGGCGGGTTAGAAATACCTTAAATTATTAATAATTTAATTAATTAATCAATCCAGTTTCTGGTCAGCAAGTGTTGAGAGATGTAAACATTTCTCTTCTCACTATCACAGTTCTTAGTTTACTATTGCTGGTCAACCATTTCAGTTCTCATTAGCAACTTTTAATTACAGTCCAGGAGTCATCGCAGGCAGTTCTTAGCACAGTTTACTATTGCTGGTCAACCATTTCGGTTCTCATTAGCAACTTTTAATTACAGTCCAGGAGTCATCGCAGGCAGTTCTTAGCACAGTTTACTATTGCTGGTCAACCATTTCAGTTCTCATTAGCAACTTTTAATTACAGTCCAGGAGTCATCGCAGGCAGTTCTTAGCACAGTTTACTATTGCTGGTCAACCATTTCGGTTCTCATTAGCAACTTTTAATTACAGTCCAGGAGTCATCGCAGGCAGTTCTTAGCACAGTTTACTATTGCTGGTCAACCATTTCGGTTCTCATTAGCAACTTTTAATTACAGTCCAGGAGTCATCGCAGGCAGTTCTTAGCACAGTTTACTATTGCTGGTCAACCATTTCAGTTCTCATTAGCAACTTTTAATTACAGTCCAGGAGTCATCGCAGGCAGTTCTTAGCACAGTTTACTATTGCTGGTCAACCATTTCAGTTCTCATTAGCAACTTTTAATTACAGTCCAGGAGTCATCGCAGGCAGTTCTTAGCACAGTTTACTATGGCAGGTCAACCATTTCAGTTCTCATTAGCAACTTTTAATTACAGTCCAGGAGTCATCGCAGGCAGTTCTTAGCACAGTTTACTATGGCAGGTCAACCATTTCAGTTCTCATTAGCAACTTTTAATTACAGTCCAGAAGTCATTGCATGCCTTATCTTCTCCAACGGAGTCTCCAAAATTATTCATCTTTCACTCAGCTCCATTCATACCCACACAGATGAAACCCACATTTATCAAATCTGCACATTATATTCCTTGTGATGGTAATTATTTATTTTCAAAACCAAGTCCTTTTGTTTCTGAAGGGAATATTTCTTTGTTCTGTTTCGAGACTCTAAATATGCCCAGTAAGGTAATCAATGAGATTAATGCTAATTATAACCGGTGTCCATTCAGAAACGCCAGGCCTCCTTCAGCCCGTTCTTCCTAATGCTGTTAACGAGTGGGTGGGAAGTGTGGGCGCGCGCGGGCCGCGGAGTGAAGGCCAACGACGGCCTTGCGGACATCCGCAAAGTGGCAGCTGACAAGATGGACGCTCGGAGAGACGGCTCCTTTGTTCACGGCGTGTTTGTATTTTTCCCTCCACAGTATTTTAAGAAGCAGAAGCGGCTAATCCCGGAGCGGACGGTTTGGAAGTACTTTGTGCAGTTGTGCAGTGCGGTCGAACACATGCACTCCCGCCGGGTGATGCACAGAGGTAACATTAAATCCCCTCCCTTTTCGCTGAATAATGGTATAATGTTCCAATTAGTACGCGCCTACATTCGAAAACAATTAGGCGGATGTTCAGGCAGTGTGTGCTTAGCGGTGGCGGGGCTTGCGAGATGGATTCCTCCTCCTCCTCCTCCTCTTCCTCCTCCTCGCGACTGAGCCGATCAGGAGGATTAGGAAGATGAGCGGCCTTCGCTTGCAATCACACGGAATTCAGGGCGAGTCCGATGGCAGCGTTCATTAGAAGGGCCCCGGGAACACAGGGAACGCTCTTGACAGATTAGAGAGATGGGCCAAAACTAACAAAATGAAGTTCAACAGTGACAAATGCAAGATACTCCACTTTGGCAGGAAAAACGAAATGCAAAGATACAGAATGGGGGATGCCTGGCTCGAGAGCAGTACGTGTGAAAAAGATCTTGGAGTCCTCGTGGACAACAAGTTAAACATGAGCCAGGAATGTGATGTGGCGGCAAAAAAAGCCAATGGGATTTTGGCCTGCATCAATAGGAGCATAGTGTCTAGATCTAGGGAAGTCATGCTCCCCATGCTCTATTCTGCTTTGGTTAGACCACTTTACCTGGAATATTGTGTCCAATTCTGGGCACCACAATTCAAGAGAGATATTGACAAGCTGGAATGTGTCCAGAGGAGGGCGACTCAAATGATCAAGGGTCTGGAGAACAAGCCCTATGAGGAGCGGCTTAAGGAGCTGGGCATGTTTAGCCGAAGAAGAGAAGGCTGAGAGGAGATATGATAGCCATGTAGAAATATGATAACCATGTATAAATATGTGAGAGGGAGCAAGCTTGTTTTCTGCTTCCCTGGAGACTAGGACGCAATGGAACAATGGCTTCAAACTACAGGAAAGAAGATTCCACCTGAACACTAGGAAACTTCCTAACTGTGAGAGCTGTTCAGCAGTGGAACTCTCTGCCCAGCGGAGTGTGGTGGAGGCTCCTTCTTTTGGAGCTTTTAAACAGAGGCTGGGTGGCTATCTGTCAGGGGTGATTTGAATGCATTTCCTGCTTCTTGGCAGAGGGGTTGGACTGGATGATGGACCACGAGGTCTCTTCCAACTCTTTGATTCTATGATTCTATGTTTCTAGAGACTTCATACATAGGGCCGTGAGATCAGCCCCAAACTTGGTCTTGGGGGGGCCACAAGTTGAACACACACCTACAAAACCCTATACGGTTCCGGCCCAGCATATCTGTCCGAACGCATCTCCTTCTACGTCCCGCCTCGGAGTTTAAGATCTTCTGGGGAGGCCCTGCTCTCGGCCCCACCTCTATCACAAGTGAGGTTGGTGGGGACGAGGAGCAGGGCCTTCTCGGTGGTGGCCCCTCACCTGTGGAATTCACTCCCCGGGGAAATTAGGTCATCGACATCCCTCCTCACTTTTAGAAGGAAATTAAAAACATGGATTTGGGACCAGGCCTTTGGGTAATCTGGTAGATAGACGAAGGACAAGAGACGACTAGAATGGATGGATTTGACAATGAGGAATTGAATTTACAGACTATGAGCTGGCAAACGTTGAGCACTAGATTGGTTTTGTGGTGATGTATAACGGGTTGTTTTAATTGTTTTAATTACTGTTTTGATTGTTTTAATTGTTTTAATTAATTACTATAAGCAAAGTAAATAAATAAATAAATAAATAAATACTGTTTATATATGTTTTATTTTTATCTTACTGTTGTGTTGGCATCGAATTGTGCCTTTTGTAAGCCGCCCTGAGTCCCCCCGTGGGGGTTGAGAAGGGCGGGGTAGAAGGGCGAGAAATAAATAAATAATAAATAAATAGAATCATAGAGTTGGAAGAGACCACACGGGCCATCCAGCCCAACCCTTTTCTGCCACGCAGGAAAAGCACCATCCCGTGCAAGATACTCTAGTTCTGCAAAGAGACAGAATGGGGGATGATGATGCCTGTGAAAAAGATCTTGGAGTCCTTGTAGGGGAAAAGGGGAACAGGAGCCAGGAATGTCATGCCTGCATAGTGCCCAGATCCAGGGAAGTCATGCTCCCCATGCTCTATTCTATTCTGCCTTGATCTAGGGAAGTCATGCTCCCCATGCTCTATTCCGCCTTGGTTAGACCACATTACCTGGAATATTGTGTCCAATTCTGGGCACCACAACTCAAGAGAGATATTGACTCTAAGCTGGAATGTGTCCAGAGGAGGGCGACTCAAGGGTCTGGAGAACAAGCCCTATGAGGAGCGGCTTAAGGAGCTGGGCATGTTTAGCCTGAAGAAGAGAAAGCTGAGAGGAGATATGAGAGCCATGTGTAAATATGTGAGAGGAAGCCACAGGGAGGAGGGAGGGAGCTTCCTTTCTGCCTCCCTGGAGACTAGGGATGTGGAACAATGGCTTCAAACTACAAGAAAGGAGATTCCACCTGAACACGAGGAAGAACTTCCTGACTGTGAGAGCCGTTCAGCAGTGGAACTCTCTGCCCCAGAGTGTGGTGGAGGCTCCTTCTTTGGAAAGAGTCTCTACCAGGCTATCATCATGTCTCCTCTCAGCCTTCTCTCCTGCAGCTCTAAACATGCCCAGCTCTTTCAGCCGCTCCTCATAGGGCTTGTTCTCCAGACCCTGGATCATTTTAGTCTCCCTCCTCTGCACACCTTCCATCTTGTCAACATCTCCCTTCAATTGTGGTGCTCAGAAATGGACACAATGTGATTCCAGGTGTGGTGTCACCAAGGCAAAATAGAGCATGGGGAGCATGACTTCCCTGTTCAGCAGTGGAACTCTCTGCCTCGGAGTCCGGTAAAGGCTCCTCTTTGGAGGTTTATAAACAGAGGCTGGGTGGTCATATGTCAGGGGGGCTTTGATTGTGCAAGAAGGGGGTTGGACTGGATGGCCCTTGGAGGTCCCTTCCCCTCTTTCAAGTGCACAGAGACATGCTGCATTATCACGGGGTGTCTGCGCCCTCCACCACTGGAGAAATTACACTGCTTAGCCGGTATTGCACCTCCTGACATCCGCCGGGAAGGAGCAGCCATTAGTGAAAGGACCAAGGCAGAGACATCTCCTGTTTGGGTATCAGCCAGCACGTCAACGACTTAAATCAAGACATAGTTTTCTTAGATCTACAGAAACACTTGCTGGAAATCTCAGCAAGCGAGAGTCCAAAGGTGGCAGGCTCAAACCCAGAATCTGACACCAAATGAGAGACTCCCCCCTGGGCACACAGAAGACTGGGTGACTTGGAAGGCCCTGAACAGACTGCGCTCTGGCACCACGAGATGCAGAGCCAACCTTCGGAAATGGGGCCACAAAGTGGAATCCTCGGCATGCGAGTGCGGAGAAGAGCAAACCACTGACCACCTGCTGCAATGCACCCTGAGCCCTTCTTCCACATGATGCACCAGGGAGGACCTTCTTGCGGCAACACCGGAAGCACTCCAAGTGGCCAGAGACTGGTCAAAGGACATTTAATCCACTACCAAACTCACACATTTTGTATTTTTCTGTTGTTGTTTTTTTGCTTTGCTTTGTTAGAAATGTAATATAATCGACTGGTTGCACTGACACGATAAATAAATAGCGCACAGGCGCACGTTTTGCAAGGGAGACCCTTTGGGCGAGGTACAAATGTGCAAGGGAGACACTTTGGGCGACAGAACAGATGCTCGTCCTGCTGCTGCCCCCCAACTCGTCAGGCTCACGCGAGGGAGAGAGAGAGCGCAGACGTTTTGGGGAGTGGGTCTCCTCTCCTCCCCTTTCAAGAGATGCCTTGTGCGGCGTGGAATCAAAGTCCCTTGCCTTTCATCCCTCTGCAAAGAGCAGAGCGGACCCGCCAGGCAGGCTGCTGCGGTTGTGCTCTGTTGTGTTTCTGTTGTGCAGATGGGGAGTTCCTTTCCCACAACCCCTCCTGGCTAGGACACATCATATGGCGGCTTCCCAAATTAAGAACTTGCACCATTGTCTTAGGGCAGCGATGGGCAACCTTTTGAGCTTGGTGTGTCCACATTCGCCAAAATTTGGGGTGGGGTGGGGTGTCACTTCGAGAAAAAAAAAATCATAATTTGCAATATTTAGAGTTTAAATAAGAAAAATGTATATTCCATGCTGAGTTATGGTGTAAACAATGCTCAAACGTGCATATGTTAAATTTGTAGAGCCTTTTACAAATTTAAAGATGGAATTAGTTTGGCTCTAATAAGGTGGACTTCTCTGTATGCGACCGTTTGTGTCTGCGTGTCATCAAAAATAGCCATGCGTGTCAGTGCTGACACGTGTGTCATAGGTTCACCATCATGGTCTTGGGGTGAACTCCGCTCCCATTTTCATCAAGACACAACAGTATTGCTCATTCCAGCATCAGATTCTGTGTTTTCCCTTCAGAATTTGAGAGAAGACATAACTTTGGGAAACCTAACAGCATTCTACTTCATGGCTGGAATCACTGGGTTGCTGTGAGTTTTCCAGACTGTTTGGCTATGTTCCAGAAGCATTCTCTCCTGACGTTTCACCTATATCTATGGCAGGCATCCTCAGAGGTTGTGAGAGCTTCAAAACTTGGCAGCTTCCTGCCTGAGGGGAATCCTTTATTGGGAGGTGTTAGCTGGCTCTGATTGTTTCTTGTCTGGATTTCCCCTGTTTTCTGAGTGTTGCTCTTTATTTACTGTCCTGAGTTTTTTAATACTAGGAGCCAGATCGTGTTCATTTTCATGATTCCTCATCTGTGGCAGGCATTTTCAGATTTTGTGAGGGCTTCAAAGCCTGGCTGCTTCCTGCCTGGGGGAATCCTTTGTTGGGAGGTGTGAGCTGGCCCTGATTGTTTCTTGTCTGGAATGCCCCTGTTTTCTGAGTGTTGTCCTTTGTTTACTGTCCTGATTTTAGAGTGTTTTAATACTGGTAGCCAGATCGTGTTCATTTTCATGATTTCTCATCTGTGGCAGGCATTTGATTGATTGATTGATTGATTGATTGATTTCGCGTATTTCTACCCCGCCCTTCTCAACCCCCGAGGGGGGACTCAGGGCGGCTTACAAACAGGCACAATTCGATACCTACACAAAAGTACAAATAAACATATATAAACAGCAATTAAAACAGTTATAACAGTTAAGACAATCAATTATATATCACAGTCAATAAAGGCAATCTCATACTCAACGTTCGCCAGCTCAGAATCCATAAATTCATTCCACATTGTCAATTCCTATCAGTCGTCGTTGTCCTTTCTTTATCTGCCAGATTACCCAAACGCCTGGTCCCAAATCCATGTTTTCAGTTTCCTTCTAAAGGAAAGGAGGGATGTCGCTGATCTAACTTCCCCGGGGAGTGAGTTCCATAGGTGAGGGGCCACCACCGAGAAGGCCCTGCTCCTCGTCCCCGCCAGCCTCACTTGTGACAGTGGCGGGGTCGAGAGCAGGGCCTCCCCAGAAGATCTTAAACTCCGAGGTGGGACGTAGAGGGAGATCCGTTTGGACAAATACACTGGGCCGGAATCGTATAGGGTTTTGTAGGTCAAAACCAGCACTTTGAATTGTGCTCGGAACTGGATCGGCAGCCAGTGGAGCTGACACAACAACAGGGGGGTGGGATGCTCCCTGTATGACGCCCTCAAAGCCTGGCTGCTTCAAAGCCTGGCTGCTTCCTGCCTGGCGGAATCCTCTGTTGGGAGGTGTTAGCTGGTGTCCATTCATCCAGTGGTATTTGAGTTTTGGTAATCCCACAAACGAACATTACATTTTTATTTATATAGATTGCATACACATAAAGTAATAATATAATGTAATAATAATATAATAATATAATGTAATACAATATAATAATATAATAATATAACGTAATACAATATAAAGAGCCCCCGGTGGCACACTGGGTTAAAGCGCTGAGCTGCTGAGCTTGTTGATCGAAAGGTCGCAGGTTCGATTCCGGGGAGCAGCGTGAGCTTCCGCTGTCAGCCCTAGCTTCTGCCAACCTAGCAGTTCGAAAACATGCAAATGTGAGTAGATCAATAGGTACCGCTCCGGCGGGAAGGTAACGGCGCTCCATGCAGTCATGCCGGCCACATGACCTTGGAGGTGTCTACGGACAACGCTGGCTCTTCGGCTTAGAAATGGAGATGAGCACCACACCCCAGAGTCAGACATGACTGGACTTAATGTCAGGAAACAACATTTACCTTTACCTTATTCAGTTATTTGACCATCACTGCTGCAAGAATCATCTATGCGAAAAAATGGAAAGAGAAAGACATTCCAAATATAATTATAATTATAAGATAATAATAATATAATATAATATAATCATATTATAATATAATAATATTATAATATAATATAATTTTAATATAATATAATTTTAATATAATATAATTATAATATAATATAATAATATTATAATATAATATAATTTTAATTTAATATAATATAATTATAATATAATATAATAATATTATGATATAATATAATATAATAATATTATAGTATAATATAATTATAATATAATAATAATATTATGTATAATAAATATATATATAATACTAATAATAATTAATAATATATAATATATATGTAATAATAATATATATATTATATATGTAATAATATATACTACTAATAATAAAATATAATATTATAATTATATATTTATATATAATATAATAATATAATTAATTATAATATATAATAAATAAATATATAATACAATATAATAATTAATATAATAATATAATTATAATATAATATAATACAACATAATACTAATAATAATACAATATAATAATATAATAATATAATAATAATATAATGTAATACAATATAATACAATATAATAATATAATAATATAATTATAATGTAATATAATACAACATAATACTAATAATAATACAATATAATAATATAATAATATAATGTAATACAATATAATACTAATAATAATACATTATAATAATTAATATAATATAATAATATAATGTAATACAATATAATACCAATAATAATACAATGTAATAATTATAGATTTCATATTACATGTAATATTATAGTATAGTGGTATAGTACAGGATGGGAATGTATGGTACTAATATTGTGCTATGCTAATAATACGTATTGTATTTATATATGACTTGTAAGCCGCTCTGAGAAGGGCGGCATATAAATGCCATAAACACCTTCCAACAGAGGATTCCCCCTGGCAGGAAGCAGCCAGGCTTTGAAGCTACAAAGCAATTCAGTGCTAACCAAGCTGGACAGTTGCAACATTCACAGGCAAGAGTTCTTTCTCCCACTCTGGACATCATTCCACGGGGATACAAACCCCACTTGCCTTGTTTGCAACAGACCTCACAACCTCTGAGGATGCCTCCCAACAAAAGATTCCTCTGAGGATGCCTGCCATAGATGTGGGCCAAACGTCAGGAGAGAATGCTCCTGGAACATGGCCAGACAGCCTGGAAAACTCACCGCAACCCAGCCTTCTACACTCTTGATGCTTTTGACTCTTTGGTTTGTATGTGTTGAATAGAAAGGTGCTTGTCCGTCCTGACAAGCCGTCCGTATACTGGTCTGCAAAATCTACTGGGAAATGTCATTTTTCGTAGGTCGTGACACGCCAAAAGCAGTCTGATCCAATGGGTTATTGGTGGGTTATTGGTGGGAAGGGGCTGCGGACACTTTGCGCCAACGACCTTGACTGGCAGCTCTGACCGCTGGTGTTTCTTTCTCTCTGTTTGTGTCTTCCAGACATCAAGCCGGCCAACGTGTTTATCACAGCGACTGGAGTGGTGAAGCTGGGAGACCTGGGACTGGGCCGCTTCTTCAGCTCCAAAACCACTGCTGCACATTCCTTAGGTAAGCCCGCATGCAATGCTAACGGAGGTGACGCTATGCCCAAGCAGCCCACGCACATGCCAGCCTGGGATAGTTCGGCCATCATGGAAGCATTGGATTATCAACTAGCCATGCCTGGGTTGGGTAGTTTGCAATGCTATTGATTAGAAGTAGTCATTGTTTACATGCCCCCATTAGAGATACACACTGCTCTCCAGAAGTAAGATGCACACGAGCCTTTAGATGTGAGTGGACTACATCTCCCATCATCCTCAGTATTTTAGGGTCTTCATTATGGGTATGGGAGCCCCCGGTGGCACAGTGGGTTGAACCCCTGTGCCGGCAGGACTGAAGACCGACAGGTCGCAGGTTCAGATCCAGGGAGAGGCGGATGAGCTCCCTCTATCAGCTCCAGCTCCTCATGCAAAGGGGACATGAGAGAAGCCTCCCACAAGGATGATAAAAACATCAAAATCATCCGGGCGTCCCCTGGGCAACGTCCTTGCAGACGGCCAATTCTCTCACACCAGAAGCGACTTGCAGTTTCTCAAGTCGCTCCTGACACGACCAAAAATAAAATAAAATATGGGTATCTTGTGCCAATTTTGGTCAAGAACTGCTGTCAATGGCCATGGCACAGCTCTCAGGATGTGTATAGAGTACGGCTCCCATTATCCCCTGTCAATCCCCTTGTGTGTGTGTGTGTCGTGTCAGGAGCAACTTGAGAAACTGCAAGTCGCTTCTGGTGTGAGAAAATTGGCCATTTGCAAGGACGTTGCCCAGGGGACAGCCTTTTGATGTTTTATCATCCTTGTGGGAGGCTTCTCTCATGTCCCCTTTGCATGAGGAGCTGGAGCTGATAGAGGGAGCTCATCCGCCTCTCCCCGGATTTGAACCTGTGACCTCCCTGGATTTTAACCCACTGCGCCACGGGGGGCTCCACGTCAATCCCCTTAAAAACCCACCAGTATTTTAAGTTGGTCAGGATGGGGAATTTGTGCCAAATTTGGTCCAGATCCATCATCACTGGGATTCACACAGTTCACTTAATGTGGGTGGACTACAAGTCCCATCATCTGCTCTCAACCCCCCCCCCCCCGCCCCCCGCCAAACCATGCCTGGTGGGTAGGTGTTTCAGATTTGGTGTAGCAGTAATCCAAAAGTGCCACCAAAGCCCAAGAATCTCAAAAACACAGAATTAATCCAAAGGTGTATCCATGAACATGAAAATAGGAACTTCTCCAAAGAAACATAGGTGTAAACAGGAACCTGAAACAGAAATCTTGACAATACAGGAACCATGAACTTGGAATCGTGAACAGGAAACGGATTCCCTATAGCAACGTTGTCTCCTCTTAAGAGGCCTGAAACCAAACCACTTAATTTAAGCCAGTGTTTCTCAACCTGGGGGTCGGGACCCCCGGGTGGTTTGCAAGGGGGTGTCAGAGGGGTCGCCAAAGACCATCGGGAAACAGTGTTTTCTGTTGGTAATGGGGGTTCTGTGTGGGAAGTTTGGACCAATTCTATGGTTGGTGGGGTTCAGAATGCTCATTGATTGCCTATTTTCCCCAAACTCCTCCAGTGTTCATATTTGGGCATATTGAGTTTGGTCCAGATCTCTGGATGTAGGTGAACTACAACTTCAAAACTCAAGGTCAGTGCCCACCAAACCCTTCCAGTATTTTCTGTTGGTCAAGGGAGTTCTGTGTGCCAAGTTTGGTTCAATTCCATCATTGGTTGTGTTCAGAATGCTCTTTGATTGTGGGTGAACTATAAATCCCAGCAACTACAACTCCCAAATGACAAAAAAACCCCGACACACATTTGGACGTATCAGGTATTTGTGCCAAATTTGGTCCAGTGAATGAAAAGACATCCTGCATATCAGAGATTTACATTACGATTCGTAACAGGAGCAAAATTAGAGTTAAGAAGTAGCAACAAACATAATTTTATGGTTAGGGGTCACCACAACATGAGGAATTGTAGTAAGGGGTGGCGGCATTGGGAAGGTTGAGAAACACTGATTTAAGCCCCCTCAGACGCCCATGACACAATGCCTGGCACATCTGGATGTCAGGGTCTTATCTCAGAACCTCTGAGAATATCGAGGTTGTTGGGTTTTCACTCCCTGCGTTCTCGGGTCTAATCTAGTCTCCCTGGAAAACTCTCCATCTACCCAAGCCTTTTCTCGTGGGAACTAAAACTTCCACTTTCCCATGTTGCCTGGGAACAGGCAAAAGAATCCAAAACATCGATCTCGTCTGCCTGCAATTCTCTCCGATCATTCACAGATTCCTCGCTTTGAAACCCATCATCCCCCTCGTCCTCTGAATATTCAGAAAAATCCTCTGACGCTAGCCAGACTACATTTGGTCCAGACCCATCGTCGGTGGATTCACAGGGCTCTATGGAACTGGGTGGTGGTCTGACTTCCAAGAGGCACTGCTTGACTATCAAGCAGAAAGCAGGGGCTAGAAATAACATCATACGAAAGCTAACTGGAACAACATGGGGATCACAACCAGACACAGTGAAGGCATCTGCCCTTGCGCTTGGCTACTCTGCTGCTGAGTATGCATGCCCAGTGTGGAACACATCTCACCACATCAAAACAGTGGTTGTGGCTCCTAATGAGACACGCCGCACTGTCACAGGATGCCTGCAGCCTTTGCCGCTGGAGGAATGAGACTGTATTGCCAGTGTTGCTCCACCTCATATCCGCCAGGAAGTAGCAGCCATTAACGACAGGACCAAGGCATTGACATCTCTGACTTGTTCGGCTATCAGCCAACACGACAATGCCTTAAATCAAGAAATAATTTTCTAAGATCTGCAGAGATAGTTGCAGAAAGACCTCAGCAAGCAAGAGTCCAAAAGTGGCAGCCTAAACCCAGAGCCTCAATCAGTGGCAGAGACTGCCCATGTGGATTATTTTGGGGTTTGGAGTATTTTTGGAGCTCTGGAAGAGAGATGCTCAACCTGACAAGAGCATTATCACAGGATGCCAGCGCCCTGCGCCGCTGGAGAAATTATACTGCTTAGTTGGCGTTGCACCACCTGATACCTGCCAGGAAGTAATGGCCAGCAATGAAAGGTCGGAGGCATTGACATCTCCGGCCCATCCTCTTTTCGGACATCAACCAACACGACAATGCCTTAAATCAAGAAATAGTTTTCTAAGATCTGTAGAGATAGTCGCAGGAACACCTCAGCAAGTGGGAGTCCAAAAGTGGCAGCCTAAAACCCAGAGCCTCAATCAGTGGCAGAGACCGCCCATGTGGATTATTTTGGTGGTTGGAGCATTTTTGGAGCTCTGGAAGAGAGATGCTCAACCTGACAAGAGCATTGTCGCAGGAAGCCAGCGCCCTGCGCCGCTGGAGAAATTATACTGCTTATTTGATGTTGCACCACCTGATACCTGCCAGGAAGTAATGGCCAGCAATGAAAGGACGGAGGCATTGACATCTCCGGCCCATCCTCTGTTCGGACATCAGCCAACACGACAATGCCTTAAATCAAGAAATAATTTTCTAAGATCTGCAGAGATACTTGCAGGAAGACCTCAGCAAGCAAGAGTCCAAAAGTGGCAGCCTAAACCCAGAGCCTCAATCAGTGGTAGAGACCACCCATGTGGATTATTTTGGTGGTTGGAGCATTTTTGGAGTTTTGGAAGAGAGATGCTCAACCTGACAAGAGCATTGTCGCAGGAAGCCAGCACCCTGCGCCGCTGGAGAGATTATACTGCTTAGTTCAGTGTTTCTCAACCTGGGGGTCGGGACCCCTGAGGGGGTCGCGAGGGGGTGTCAGAGGGGTCGCCAAAGACCATCAGAAAACACAGTATTTTCTAATGGTCATGGGAGGTTCCATGTGGGAAGTTTGAGCCAATTCTGTCGTTGGTGGAGTTCAGAATGTTCTTTGATTGTAATGAACTATAAATCCCAGCAACTCCAACTCCCAAAAGTCAAGATCTAGTTTCCCCAGACTCCACCAGTGTTCACATTTGCACGTATTGAGTATTTGTGTCAAGTTTGGTCCAGATCCACCATTGCGTGAGTCCACAGTGCTCTCTGGATATAGGTGAACTACAACTCCCAAACTCAAGGCCAATGCCCACCAAACCCTTCCAGTGTTTTCCATTGGTCATGGGAGTTCTGTGTGGCAAATTAGGTTCAAATCCATCGCTGGTGGTGTTCAGAATGCTCTTTGATTGTAGGTGAACTATAAATCCCAGCAACTACAACTCCCAAATGACAAAATCAATCCTCCCCTAACCCCACTAGCATTTACATGTTGTTGCATTGGGTATTTGTGCCCAGTTTGGTCCAGTGAATGAAAATACATCTTGCATATCTGATATTTACATTATGATTTATAACAGTAGTAAAATGACTGTTATGAAGTAGCAACAAAAACAATGTTATGGTTAGGGGTCACCACCACATGAGGGACTGGATTAAGGGGTCACGGCATTAGGAAGGTTGAGAACCACTGGCTTAGTTGGTATTGCACCACCTGATATCTGCCAGGAAGTAATGGCCAGCAATGAAAGGACAGAGGCATTGACATCTCCGGCCCATCCTCTGTTCGGACATCAGCCAACACGACAATGCCTTAAATCAAGAAATAGTTTTCTAAGATCTGCAGAGATACTTGCAGGAAGACCTCAGCAGGCAAGAGTCCAAAAGTGGCAGCCTAAACCCAGAGCCTCAATCAGTGGCAGAGACTGCCCATGTGGATTATTTAGGGGTTTGGAGTACTTTTGGAGCTCCAGAGGAGAGATGCTCAACCTGACAAGAGCATTGTCACAGGATGCCAGCGCCCTGCGCCGCTGGAGAGATTATACTGCTTAGTTGGTATTGCACCACCTGATATCTGCCAGGAAGTAATGGCCAGCAATGAAAGGACAGAGGCATTGACATCTCCGGCCCATCCTCTGTTCGGACATCAGCCAACACGACAATGCCTTAAATCAAGAAATAGTTTTCTAAGATCTGCAGAGATACTTGCAGGAAGACCTC